CCTCATTCTTCGAGTCCCTTGTGACAACTGGGGCTGAAGCGCATTATGGTACACCGATTCGTGTACCAAATGTAAAATGTTTATTTTGTCTTAAATATTAGATATAAGAACCCCATCTTTTCCCGGTAAGATCACAACATCAATGTTGATTTAAATTGACAAATAATTTGTGTTTTCAATATGTTCACCATAAATCACAGTGGAACTCGACCTTAAAGGAGCTAAATCGCTAACATTTCGGACCTAGAAATTCACAAAAGTGGGTCGCAACGCATATAATACTGTAATATGAATGTATATAAACTGATTTACATTTAATGGTTTCCGTTTTTACTCCAATTTCAAATCAGTTATGTTCGGCGAAATAAGTCAGCAATCTCAATCGAGTGCAAATTTCTAGAGTCTAGTTATTCAAGTCTACATAACTCCATTTGATTTGGTGCAATGTGTCTAGCCTCGTCCCTCGAGTCTCTCAATACAACTGGGGCTGAAGCGCATTATGGTACACGATTCGTGTACCAATGTTAAAAAAATTATTTTATCTTAAATATCGGATATCAGAAGCTCATCTTTTCCCGTTAAGTTTACATCATCAATGTTGATTTAAATTGACCAATAATTTGTGTTTTCGATGTCGAAGATTTTGGAGGATTTTGAGTTACGGACTTAGGTCCTTTAAATAAAGATATATATGTCCCACACATTAATCACAGTAATATATTATACTTATATACATATCTATCCATTGTAGTTTATTGTGTATTTTACAGCATGGGTAATGTGTATATTCACTGTATATATATATATATATATATCCATCCACTGTGGTTTATATGTATATTCACTGTGGTTTATATGTATATCCATTGTGGTTTATTGTGTATTTTACAGCATGGGTAAGGTGTATATTCACTGTATATATATATATATCCATCCACTGTGGGTTATATGTATATTCACTGTGGGTTATATGTATATCCACTGGGGGTTATATGTATATTCAAGGTGTAGATGGCAGAATACACTGTAAATCATAACTTTTGTGTATTGTAAATCATATTTATTACATGTAGATCATCATAACCAGCTTTAATATCATCTAGCTGTAGAACATTAAAAGATACAATGTCCGGGCGAATTGACCCCTTTTGACAGGCCAAATTGCCTTTCGTCCGGACATAATTGTCCGACCGTGTTTTTGTAAAACATTAAACCAAAAGTATTAATTTCAATTCGCAAATTCGCGAATTCGAGTCCATCGCTAATTATTATTAGACTTGAAAATCCAGGCCCAAAAATATCAATGACCCAAGTCATAGTGAAAATGTTCCTATTTATATCTCGGCCGCGTGCAGATAAAATAATCAATAATTTTTATTAATAAATGTATGTATAATAAAATATATATAAACATAGTAAATTTTTGGTGTAATATACTTTATAAAGTATTTGTCAGGCTGAAAATCTGAAATGTCCGGCCGAAACCTTAGCAGTTATTTCAAGGCTTGACCTTACAATTTGTAATTTATATTAGCCTCATAACACTGAGAGAATACTCTTTGAAAGTTTAACAAAATAAATAAGTAGCTGTTTTTCCATAAGTATGTGTTAGTGTTTATACCTATAGAATGTACTATGTCAAGCACAAAATAAATAAGTAGCTGTTTTTCCGTAAGTATGTGTTATTTATAAACCTATAATGGTAAATCTCTTTGATCTTTGGGATATATTCTATGCCCGAAATAACTTGCGGTCTGAAAGTCGGCGGCGACTTGGAATATATAATGGTGAATTTGGGGTTATTCTTCTGAAAGTTTTCTTTAAACCTGTAAAAGGTTATTCTTCCGGGGTAGGTTTTTATTTTCCATAAGAAAACTTGATATAAGGTTTTTCTTACTGGAATTCTGGGATATTCTCATTTTACATACATGTAAACATAGATCGTTTATAAGCAAGATAAATTACTCGACTTCGGTTATGCTGGGGAAGAAAGACTTCAGAAAAAAAAACTCTCAAAAGAAAGACCTTGCCCTAGGTTTCACTTTTTCTCTCAACTCTGGTTATTTTTCTCGGTCTTTCTTTCTCCAGCATAACCTCAGTCTCGTGCTATATCCTACACAGAATGTATATACTATGTACTAATTCTTGTGGCCGTGTACTTTATCCTACACAGAATGTACTATGTACTATGTCAAGCACAAAATAAAAACAACCCAAACCAATGTATAGTCCCAAGGGCATAAATAATAACAGACTAAGAACATATAAATAACATGTATGTACAAGGTGGTAGACATACTCTTGATGAAGATATGAACTATGAAGATGTGTTGTTTTTTTTAAAGTAGCTTTGATTCAATCAGAATAATTTGTAGTCATTAATCTAATAATCAGCCTATAATTCTATTAAACATACACATTCCTTTAGAGAGAGAGAGAGAGAGAGAGAGAGAGAGAGAGAGATGGGGTTTAACGTCCACTCAACACAACTAGATCATTTTGGGACTCACACATGGTTCAATCTTATTTCAATAATTCGCTTGCACGTAGGTGTCTTAGCAGTGAGAGGAAACCGAAGAAAATCCATGAGGGTGGACAGCTGACCCTACTCCTTGACCCTACTCCTTGTCACGTACAACAAGGGAATCGAAACCACGCCAGTTAACTCAATGACAGACCTTATGATACAACAGGCATGTGCTAACCATTCGGTCATCCCCCTGTCCAACCTCGTGGGTTTTCTCCGGGTCCTCCGGTTTCCTCCCACTGCTAAAGACCCCTACGCGCAAGCGAATTATTGAAATAAAATTAAACCATATGTTAGTCCCGAAATGACCTAGTTTGTGTTGGGTGGACGTTAAACCCCATTTCTCTCTCTCTCGGTCATCCCCCCCCCCCCACATTCCTTTAGAGAAATTCAAAGTTTAAATGCAGGGTTATTAATAAAGAAAGACAGTTTGAATCTGGATACTTTTAACCTAAACTTAGTCTTATTAACTTTAAAATGTATGTTCATTAAAGATACATTATGTAAGATTTAGATAAAGAGCTAGCCATTCTTGCTTTAATAGTTCGAAAATAGATAATGTAAAATGAATAATTTGAAAATTCCATTCAAATTACTCTATTGCGAGCGAAGATATTAGTCTTTGAAGGTTTGACAAGACAGGTGCTATAATTTCAATCACCGCACTGGTTGCTCGAAGCTAAGTCTCGCTCCTCCATTTTTAGCTTAAATCAAAATATGGCTGAACTGTTCTAATCTATTTAATATCGGAGAAATCTGATGCCATCAAGAGTTGATTATGGCCTGGATAAGTTAATTAATGTCTAATTAATAATTTAGATAACATTTTAGACATAAAGAAAGGCCTGCAATAGGCATATTTAGCTCTTTCAAAATGTATGTTCATTAATGTTTATAAAAAGTTCAAATTTAAAAAATATGAATTTGTATAAAAAAGGTTATTAGCAGTTAAATCTTATATTATTACATAGGCCTACTCAGAATTATGTCAAATTTATAATCATTTATATTTTTTTTTAAAAATTTGAACTAAAAAATATGGCTTTATAATTGAAGAATATTAGTTAATATTTCACTCTGTAATATTTCTTTATACAAAAAAAATATACGGTCGGCCTAATATCAAATGGTTTTATGTTAACAATTCTAAAAGAATTAAAATGAAAAAATATGGTTTTAAAATTATAAAAATGCTATGATTAGTAAGTAATATTTCTTTACACAAAGAAAATATACCGTAGGCCTAATAGAATTGAATTTAAAAAATATGGCTTTATAATATAAAAATGTTATTAGTTAACATCTCAGTAATATTTCTAAATACAAAGAAAATATATGGTAAGCCAATCATTATAAATTGGTGGTCTAATAAAATGGTTTATAAAAACATTTCTAAAAAAAATTGTGAATTAAAAAATATGGAAGAATGTTTATTAATTGAATCTTATATTTCAGTCAGAAAGAAAATATACGGTAGGGCTATTATTAAAAGCTGGTCTAATAAAACGACTTATAATATTATATCAAATTACGACTCACAGTCGATCCAATAAAGAATGTGAATTCGAACATGTCATTCATTGTAAGGCTGACCTATTTTATAGGGACGACTAGCTGGCCACAAATAACATACATGTAAGTAAATTGTAATACTGAGCTGTCCTCAATTTCTTATTGCAATGGCGTAAAGTCGGTCAAATATACGCATCCGCGGCTTTCATGTCAGTAGAAATATCGATTCATCTTAGCATGCGCGATCATAATGGCCTATAGGCTTGATGTTGGCAGAGAAAACACTACGCATATTATTAATATATCCGTACAAAATATAAGTCAATGTGCGAAGCAATAATGTCGGTCCAGGTTAGAACATCCCAAAATATCGATTTCTCCGTTTGTAAATATGGCGAATGAGCTTGATCATTGACCATGTCATCAGAAAATGTCACTTAGTTTTTCGGGGGAAGAATGGTGGCGAGAGGGTCACTGTGTTCGAGGTCGAAAAAACCTTAGTATGAAAGTTGGGCAAGCAGGGCGAGCTATATCCTGCCATGTTACCGAGCACTGCGGCTTAATAAACCTTCGCGCAGGTCGTATGACCTCATATATGATTTGCACAAGAGAAAAAAAAATGTCAGCTCGCTTCGATGTTAAGTCATTGCCTTTACAACCTTAAACGACCCCGAACATGTCATTAGATTAGCCCATTGACACATTCATCATGCCCCCGACCAACAGACAAATGTTGCGAACAGTTATATAAGCTGTGAGAGGCGATTAAGATCCGATTATACTTGGCCCGAGATGACCTGCCTTCACATGTAACCTTACCTGCTTAGCACATCGTCGTACATATGTAACCATTCGCCCTTTGAGTTGGGCTCCCGATAGCTTCGACAGAAATAAAGATTGTGACCACATTACGATTTCCCCCTCGAATAAAAAATGAATGAAAAAGTCTCCAAAGACTTACCTTAGAGCGTAGACATTCATAAGAACCTTACAGGCATTAACGAAAGTTCCTGAAAACGAATTGTGTCCATGCCGCTACGTTACCAATCACACCTTCGCTTACAACATAGCTACTAGTCCCAGTGACCTAAATATGAGCGCGCGCTGCTGACCCACTTCTTCTGCGCTGACCAACCAATCCGTGGCCAGTTCGAGGTCGTCTGCAAAAAATAAAGCCAAAGACCGATCATGTTTTTTTCTTTAGTTTTGAAAAAAACAACTTCGTCCAACCGCCTGAGCGCGTTTTTGTATTACTAGAATTACCCATGATAGTACCAGGCGTGGTGATATTGAATTTCACGAAGGAAAATGGACAGGAAAGTAGTATCATTTGATATAAGATGATTCTTTCAACGAAAGACAATTACTGTATTATGGTACTATACTGTCTAGAGTGCTGGCAGGCCAGAGGTTATTATTGTTGGGTTTGGGCAGCATATTAACAAAGCCGGTGAAGCATAATAAAACTACACTGTCCACAATAAAATTAATCCGTTGCTAAGAATCTTAGAATAGTCTTCCATAAAAAGATAATTTGATAGCTCGCTTTTATCTCTTTTAATAATACGACGGAATAAAATCTGGAATTGAGATTTTGTGGGAATTTGTGTTTTGTTTTCGAGAGACGATTTAATTGAATTTAAAGTAGATGTAAATGAGTTTTAAATTGTTTTGGGGTTATTTTTGTTTTTGACAAGGGAATTCAAGAAAAGCAGAAAATGAACTTAGGCGGAGGGTTCTTTCAGTCCTAGCTTATACTTATTGTTTTTCGATGAACATAAAAAGGCATGGTATTAAAATGTTCTGTCAGTTTTGCAATAAGAGAGAGAGAGAGAAGGGAGATGGGTTTACCCCCCACCCCACTCGATACAAACTAAGCCATTTCCGGGCTAACATATATGGTTTAATTTAAATTCGCTTGCGCCTAGGGGTCTTTAGCAGTGGGAGCCCCCCCCCCCCCCCCTAGTTTTGCAATTAACAAAAGTTTAAATTTTGAATATATTATTTTCTTTTTTAAACAGCACTAATTCGAGACGGAAATGAACGGAATTCAAGATACACACATATTACTGAGGGTGGTTTGGCTTGGATGGCCGAATGGTTAGCGCGTGTGCGTTGTATCATAAGGTCTGTCATTGAGTCAACAGGCGTGGTTTCGATTACGGAGCCGGGTCGCTTGTTCAAACTCTGGGTTTTCATCGGGTCCTCCGGATTTCTCCCACTGCTAAAGACCCCAACGCGCATGCGAATCATTGAAATCAAATTAAACCATATGTTAGTCCCAAAATGACCTATAGTTTGTGTTTAGTGGACGATAATCTCTCTCTCTCGCTCTCTCTCCCCCCCTCTCTCTCTCTTTCCTGGGCGGGGGAGGGTGTTATTTGGTCCTATATGCCTACGTTGTTTTGATGAATAAAAATAACAATTAAAAGTACTAATGGGTATTATTTTGGCAATAAAAATATCAAATAAGATATATTTTCATTATATTATTTATTTTCACCAATTCCTGATACAAATGTACGGAATAGCCAACATAATACAAAATAATAAAATGTATAATTTAAAAAAACATCCAATATTAAAATATTCATTAACATTTTTATATAGATATTAAAAGAACTATATCGATATTGATATATGCATTATCATTTTAATTAAACAGAAATATGTCCTGTATTGATATGTGCGTTTGACATTTTTATAATTGGAATCATGCGTAAACTACGAAATTATTGGACCAACAGTTCCACGGTTATATGAAGGGGTGGGTTGGATGGCAGAATGGTTAGCGCGTGCCCGTTAAATTATAAGGTCTCTCATTGAGTCAACTGTCGTAGTTTCGATTCCCTAGTTTTACGTGACAAGGAGAAGGTCGTCTGTCCAGTTTCGTGGGATTTCCTCGCGTCCTCCTTTTTTCTCCCAATTATTGAAATAAAATTGAACCATATGTTAGTCCCGAAATGAACTAGTTGTGTCGAGTGGACATTACCCCCCCCCTCTCTCTCGCTCTCTCTCTATCTCTCTTATATGAAGGAATGAAATGGGGTTTAATATCCAACTGCACTGAAGGAATGAAATGGGGTTTAATATCCAACTGCACTGACTGGGCTAAGGAAGACTGGCATACACCATACAGTATGCTATGGGGGAAATATTTTTCTGACCACGGTCTACTCATATTTCGAATTCCAAATGTCAAGCGGGTTCTATATTGCACGCAAATTATGGACAGTTCCATGTATCAGGGGCAGATCCAGGAGTTTTTGCAGGAGGGGATTTACAAGGATCCTTTTTATGGAAATTGGACAGTTGGCAATGCATGATGCCATTATGGAATCTAAACTGAGCTTTTTAAAGAGGGAAATCCAACAACCCGTTTGATGTCAATTTGTATTATGAAACAATATGATCACATTATGATTCAATTTTATTGATGCAAGGCATTAATTGTGATATCACACATGTCTATAGCATTATCTCGCGCTTTATCTGATGATAAAGGATAAAGCTTACGACCGTGACACTTTTCTCATAAAATGAGCAGTAGAAGACGACCACAACTCTCGTAAAGTAGGTCTAAAATAGCTGGAGACTACTAGCAGGAGGACATCTAAACTGGGATCTCAGCGATACTGAAGAAGGACAATCCAGTCCGTAACGTCTACCAATAAATTTGTTTAACACTATACCTAGGAGTTCGGCTATCTTCTCTGGTTATAGGGGTTGCTTCTCTACTTATTTTCTCCTAAGTGTTGTTTTACCATTTTTTTTATATATGAGAGAGAGAGAGAGAGAGAGAGAGAGAGAGAGAAATGGGGTTTTACGTCCACTCGACACAAACTAGGTCATTTCGGAACATGGTTCAATTTTATTTCCATAATTCGCTTGGGCGTAGGTTTCTTTAGCAGTGGGAGGAAACCGGTGGATCCGGAGAAAACCCACGAGGTTGGACAGGCGACCCTACCCCTTGTCACGTACAACCGGGGAATCGAAACCACGCCAGTTGACTCAATGACAGACTTTATAATATAGCGCGCACGTGCTAACCATTAAGCCATCCAACCCCCCCTTTCTCATAAAAGGGATTGTTTTACCATTTTTTTTATATATGTAGCTAAGCCCTGTGTATATATAAGCTCGGAATCAAACACCATTATTAACTGTATTAAATGGCTATTATGGTTTATTAAATACATTTACACGTTATAATGATTTTAATGACCAAGCCATTTCAACCACTATCTGGTTATTATAGTTAATATGGAGGAAACAATACAACTATATTATATTATTAAAAGCGATTTGGTGCTAATAAATAAGGTGATTAAATACATGGAATATATTACCGGTTTCTCTAGATGACTACATTTCATAATATCTATCCACAGCGGAGCACTTTAGACAATACGGTGTCGATCTTCCCTGCCATAATACATGGAATATATTACCGGTTTCTGTAGATGACTAGGCATACTACATTTCATAATATCTATCCACAGCGGAGCACTTTAGACAATACGGCGTCGATCGTCCCTGCCCTAATACATGGAATATATTACCGGTTTCTGTAGATGACTAGGCCTACTACATTTCATAATATCTATCCACAGCGGAGCACTTTAGACAATACGGCGTCGATCGTCCCTGCCCTAATACATGGAATATATTACCGGTTTCTGTAGATGACTAGGCCTACTACATTTCATAATATCCACAGCGGAGCACTTTAGACAATACGGCGTCGATCGTCCCTGTTCTAATACATGAGAGGGGAGAGAGAGAGAGAGAGGGGAGAGAGAGAGAGAGTGTGTGTGTTTAACATTCAGTCGACACATTCAGTCGCTAAATTTATATAAAAATGTTTTATATTTTCATATTTCTCTGTTAATAAATGTTCTTTCGTTTCGTATCTATTAAAATAATTCACCCGAGAGAGAGAGGGAGAGAGAGAGAGGGAGAGAGAGAGGGGAGAAATGGGGTTTAACGTCCACTCGACACAAACTAGGTCATTTCGGGACTAAATTTGGTTTAATTTTATTTCACTAAATTACCTGCGCGTAGGGGTCTTTAGCAGTGGGGGGAAACAGACTCACCCGGAGAAAAAACCACGTGGTTGGACAGGCGACCCTACTCCTTCTCGCGTACAACCAGCGAATCGAAACCACACCGGATGACTCAATGACAGACCCAATGATACAACGCGCACGCGCTAACTATTCGGCCACCCCACCCCCCTAATTCACCTGTATCTGACGTGTTGATCAGTAAAAATAAAATTAAACCATATCTTAGTCCCGAAATGACCTAGTTTGTGTCGAGTGGACGTTAAACTCTCTCTCTCTCTCTCTCTCTCTCTCTCTCTCACACACACACCCAAATATAGATCTATATTTTAATCACTGGTGTCGTAAAGCTCAACCTTCGCTAAATTTATATAATTTTTGTTTTTCTTTGTATTTTTGGGTTTTTTAAATGTATTTCATATTTTATCTGAGATATGGATACTGCGCATTTTTTCTCGACATATATTTTTTAAAGGCCACCGGAGGAAAAGCTTCAATTTTTCTTTTAAAAAATAACACAAGTACTTACGTCATCATAGCCTTTCCATAAGTATAACACGAACCCGAATGTCAATATTACTTACCTGCAACAGGTAAATTTCAACGTTAGTAAATTCCACCGTGCTCCGTTAGTATTTGTAAATATCCTTCATATTCTAGTCTTTTTTATTTCTATAGAAGACTGAAATGACGTCACGGAATGTGACGTTCACATTCACCTGTTGCAGGTAATATTGACATTCGAGTTCGTGTTATACTTATGGAAAGGAGATGAAATAATTACTTGCATTATTTTAAAAAAATTATGAAGCTTATCCGGTGACCTTTAATTGATTACGTCTGAATGTCATACAGCTTTGTTTTATGCCGTCATATTACTTTGTTTATCAACGTATTTCCTTACGAAATCTTAAAATATCTCACCTATATCTCACCTATATCTGAGATGTTGACATAATCAATTTGTTATGTATGTCTTCATATTGCGTAGTTTATAAATGTATA